GAGACTCAAGAAAAGTTATACAATGATGCAAATCAACAATTAAATATGACATTTGAAGCGTTTAAGGTAGAGGAAAACCAAGACAATATGTTTAAAATAATGCTTAAAAACTTTTGGCACAACACATACAAAAGAAATGAGCCAACAAGAACACAGGCAACACAAACATTGAAAAACCAACGCGACGCAATGGTGTCAGCCTTTACTAAAATGCTCGACAACAACAAACCGCCAGAACCACCGCCAAAGAAACCAGACGAGGATGACAGCGATGAAGAAGAAAAGAAGTTCAAACTGACAAAAATGATAGAAATAATGCTACACAACGGCGCTACAATAGCAGATATAATATTAAACTTATCACACAGCACAATTGCAACAACAATAAATATTGCAGATTTAGTTAATCAAATAACAGCAGGAAATGCACAAGGTAGCAGTAGCAATTCATCAAATGAAGCTATTAGTGTTCATAGTTCTCCACCTATTACTGTTCATAGTTCTTCATCTGAAAGTCCAACAGAAATACCAGCACCAACTGAAGACGAAGAAGAAGAAGAAAACCAACATTTCAATTTTGAAAAATTAACATCTAAATAATATCATATATAATGGGTTCAAGTAAATCAAAACCAGTAGAAATTGATGACGAAGAGGCTATTAAAGTAATAAAAGATATAGATGTAAATACGATAAGTGAAATGTCAAGAATTGATATTCTACAAATAAATTCATTGAAAGCAATAATCAATAAATTAGAAAAAGTGAATGAACGTAAAAAAGATAAAATATATTATAAATTACCTGCTTTGAATTTATGCAGTTATTCTTTATTTTGAATTAATAACATTAAGCCAATGGCTTAATGCTATTAATTGCTATCATAATCTGTCATTTCACTTTCGGGTAATTTTGTTGAAGCATTGCTACACATATCGTCTATTAAATCGTCGCGAAGCTCGCGAGCCTCTGGCGAAGCGTCTTCATCAACAAAATTATTTTGAAATCGTAATAATTCCTCGTCTGTTGCACTTCTTTTCAATACCTTATAAAGTTTATGTATCCAAGAATTAGTATGAAAATTATAATTACCTCTACGATAAAATCCACCACATCTACATAGTCTCATTGACATATTATTATACTATATTAAATTATAATTTCTTTATTCATCACTTGTAATTTGAAATGCCTGTTCAAAATTGATATGAAACATTTTGTTAATGTCTTTTGAATTCATATTCAAGTAGAAAAAAGAATATGGAGCAAAATTCACTGCTTGATGATACATATCTAATAATTGCTGTTTATCAACAATGGCGCTATTTTCTTCAATAAAACTCATTAGCTCACTGGCATTTTTCAACCTAAAAATATATAATGAACTGGCATTCAAACGAATGATAGGCGCTAAAACATTGTATTTTTGTGTTGAACAAATCACACTTACTGCATCGTGCCTGCCTCTTGTAAATAATCCATGTAATAATTTACTATATCTAACAAATTTAGGGTCGTCTGCGTGGTCATCTATAACGTTTAATATTGAATGTAGTTTCTTTATCTTTTTAGATTTCATATAATTAATTATTTTCTTCTGTCTTTCAATTACATTTTCTAAATCACTTGGATTATAATTATCAAAATAAATTTGTTCTTTTTCATCATCCACGTGCAATTCGTCCCTGATATATTTTTTAACTTCTGTAAATGTAGGGTCGTTATGGACGCTGGGTGAGAATATAAATATTCTTGCAAATGAATTTCTATAAACATTCAATATTAAATTTTGAATAAGGACAGTCTTACCGCCTGTCGAAGAAGCAACTATAATACTTCTAAATGGTAATTTTGGCACGTGCTCATATTTAGATTGTTTGAATTCATATTCAGTTATGTTTATTGGTTTTATTATTGGAACATCTGTCATAGTTGATATTAAAGATATTTAGAAAATAATTTAATATTATTTATTGTATGAAAGCATTGCTATGATATGAATGGTGTCTATCGTAGTAGAACAGGCTCTTTCATCAACTTCAATCAATAAGCATTGAAGCTAATTAGTTTGTATCTCTCTCGCGTGTGCAATGAAAACCCCAAGTGCTGTGCCCCACCAATATTCTATTATGCATGAAAATAATAAGATTAAATAACTATTTTATCTTATTATTTAATATGAAAAGGAGTTATACAGATTATATTAATATAATAGATGAAATGGAGAATATAGAACAAGTACTAATAACTGATAATAGATGTAAAAAAATATGTTATTTTATTTTAGAATTAATTAAGTTTTTGATACAATATATTAAAAATATCAATATTAATATAAATGGTAAAAAAGAAGAAAAACAAAAATAAGACAGGTTTAAGTGTTTCTTCAACAGATGAAGATAGCGGAGAAATTGTTAAAGAAACAGCAGTAATTGAGTTTTCTTGTCCAATGTGTAAAAAGATGTTAGAAATGAAAAATGAATTAGAAATAAAAAATAATAAAAATTGTAAATGTTCATGTATTCCAACAACTTTCAAAATAAGAAAAAAATGATAAGAAAATGAATATTGATAAAACTAAAGACAGTATAAATCTGGAAACGGATGTTCATAATATAACTTTTAAATTTGGTAGGCAAGCAACACCATCCGATAATAATGAAAACGTAAAAATGAAAACGAAACACAGGAAAACTGTAAAACAAAAGAATGAAAAATATATAATTAAATAAATAATTATCTAAATAAATATATAGTAATGTCTGAAAATGAAAATTATACTATTAATGATTTAATGAAGAAGATAACATTAATTGGTAAAAATATCAAAACCTTAAATGATATGATTAAATCCATTGATGACAAAATGAAACCAGTTGAACGCGAACAACAAAGCAACGAAGAGAAGGAGAAAATCGAAAAGATATTTCAAGCAAAATCTAAAGGAAGACCATCGGGCGACTACCCTACAAAGCAAAAGAAATACTGTGATATGTTGAATACAGGAAAAATCAAACAACCAAAGCAACAAACATTAGAGTTTTATAAAATTACAAAACATGATGATGGAGTATATGTATTATTTGAATAATTAATATCTAAATAATTCTAATAAATGAATTTATTAGAATTATTTAGCGGAACAAAAAGCGTCGGAACCATAGCAAAGTCGCTTGGATTTAATGTGATATCATTAGACTTGAAAAATGCTGATATCAACACTGATATTTTGGAGTGGGATTACAAACAGTTTGACAGAAACCATTTTGATTTTATTTGGAGTAGTCCCCCATGCACTGAATACAGCATAGCAAAAACTAGGGGAATTAGGAATATCGAATATGCAAATAGTATTGTCTTAAAAACTATTGAGATTATCAAATATTTCAATCCTAAATATTTTGTAATCGAAAATCCACAAACTGGATTATTAAAACATCAGTGGTTTATGGATGAGTTTGATTTTAAAGATGTCGATTATTGTAAATATGGATTTAATTATAGAAAGAGGACTAGGCTATGGAATAACATTACAACTTGGAAACCTAGAGATTTATGTAAAAAGGATTGTGGCAACATCAGGAATAATAAACATGTTGAAACAGCACAACGGCTACCATCGGGCACCAAGGAAAAATGGGGAGACAATCCAACAATACATAATCAGGAAGATTTATATAAAATACCTAGCGAATTAATTTGTGAAATCTTAGTGAGTTTGACGGATTAAAGAAACAAGACACCAGTCCCAAAAATAGGGGATTCGAGTCCCAAATGCGTGGGATTGGGGATTCGAGTCCCAAGTTTAGGGGATTGGAGTCCCAACTTTCGGGGATTCGGGTCCCAAGTTTAGGGGATTGGAGTCCCAACTTTCGGGGATTCCGGTCCCAAGTTTGTGGGATTGGTCCCATCACGCCTACGCCTCAACTCATCATCAATTAAATTATTATCCCAAACTTAAATTATCACCATACTATAATAATAACATTTATACCCTTATATGTTATAATTATAATGTAAGTATAGCGTTTGATATATTGAAGATAAAATCCTACAAGGGACACGCGAGCGTTAGCGAAGCTCGCAAGCTATGCGACCACGCCCAAACAAATATATGATGAAACTGATGAAACGAAGGAGGGAGTGATGTTGTTGCTGTTCTATTTTTTGTCCGGGAAATGGACAAATCGTTTTTAGACAGTTCGAATATTTTTTTGATGACAAATATTTTTTGCAATATATTTTGCAAAATTTATTTTTTTGAAATGGATGAGGCGAGGAGATTGAGGAAAGGACATTTTGGAGGGTAGTTGGTGAAATGAATGAGGCAAGGAGAAAGGAGAAAAGGATGGCGAAAATTTTGGAAAAATGATGAACAAAAAACGGATGAGATGGACAGAAAGGAATGTAGAAAAATGATGAAAACGAATAAGGGTAGAAGATGGAAGATGAAAAAAAATGTAGGGTGGGGGGTATGTATGAAAGCAATTTATTGCTGGGCGTGGCCCTCGACTACTTTTTTGGGGTTGGTTTACAGGGAAACTACAAGGAAAACATTTTTTTTTTAATTGGGCCCCCTAGAAAAAGACACACCCATATGTCTTAACATGCTGTTAGTTGTTGAATGGGAGGGGGGAAAGCTGAGGTAGCGAAGCAGGAGCAACCAACCGGCTTTTGCTAGGAAGATGGAATGGCATTCCAGCCGTAGATCTTCGTCCAAGGAATGGTCTGAATGCAGCAGCCGCCCGAAACACAGCCCCCGCAAAAGAGAGATCCAGCACAAAACACAGGGCAATTCGCGAAACCAAGCACCACGGCCGTGGGTCAACACCGTTTTGGGATCCCATTTTGGGGGGATGGGTGAATTCACCGCCCATTTCAGAGCCTATTTTAGTGGTTGGATTTTTTCATGTTCCCTGGGGGGTACGGGGTTTTGAAAAGACCCTAGCCACACGACCAAGAAGGGCTCCGAATCGAGGCACACCTTTGACCCTGAGACGAGGCTCATGCGCGTCGTGCTCCTCCTCAGCCATTACGGTGAAAATGGGCATCGAGAGGAGGGGTTCCTGGGCTCTTGGGCTCCTCCTCCGATGGAGATTTGGGTTGGGTCTCTCAACGGGTCACCCAGAAAACTAGATGTGGCTGTGGCTCAACAGGGCTCCTTAAAAGATGCATTTTGCCCATTTGAAACATGGCTTTTTCCGCCAAAATACAGGGACAATGTTCAGGTGTGTAATGTCAGGATCCCTGCTCAAAAAAGTGGTACCCATGCTTCGTGTCTGTAAGCCAGGACCCCGTGTGGCTTTTTGGGCGGCTCGGTACCCCAAAACCCGTTCACAGGGAGGGAAGGGGGGTTATGCATTTTAAAGCACCAGCCTTTGATCATGCCGAGCCACGAGAAAAAACTTGACCAAGCTGGACCTGACGGAAGCGCCCGCAAAACGGGAGCCCACCTCCAAACCTCCAAACCCGGAAGCCCCATTTCTTCCAGAAAAGCCCCCAACCCCCGTGGAGGACGATGCTGGACCGGTTCCCGGAGATCTACGAGGTGGAGGCCGTGATGCCCGGCTTCAAGATCCCCACGGAGGATCTCCGATCGGATTGGACCGGATCGGCTTGAGACCTCAGGGGGCAACCAAGAAGCCCGGGCGGTTTCCGTTGGGGTGTCCCTTCCGTTGGCGTCCCCCAGCAATTGGTGCCCTTTTGCCGTTTCTTTTTTGGTTGGGAGGGTGTGGTCTACTAAAATCGACTATAGAAAAAGTTGGTAGCCTTAGTCTAACCTCTCTACTGGAGGACCCAGAACTTTAAGAACCGTTTTGGTTCAGGCAGTGCTGGACGCGGCAGTTCTGCCGACTTTCCAGGCCGCTTCGTGTGGCCCTGGCACCTCTGAGACGCCGCTGACTCGGCTTTTCGCCCGGTGTGGTCGGCCTCATCTGAGATCTTGACAGTGGCTTTGCTCCCGACACCGGACACTACTTAAAGGGGCATTGCGCTGAGTAAGCGGTTAGTAAGGCTGGTTCAAACCCACTTAGGAGGCTTTTAACCATGATAAGCGGGTTGTAACCAGGCTTACTAACCACTTGCTAAGCACAATGCCCCTTGAAGTACGTGACACCGATCGGGCCTCAACAGGTGCGTCACTGGCATCGCGTGCTTGAGCGCTCCTCGACTACCACGCAATGACCACATCCCCAAGTACAGTGGGAGGGTTCTCTTTGTCTCCTCAGCCCCGGAAAGGGTAGTAATTTGCAAGCAACCCGATCCAAATGAACCTTTCAATCAATGTGGGACTCTTTTCTTGTGTCCCCTCAGAACATACGTTGCATGTCAAGGTTGACGGCAGACAATCTCAAAAGATGTCTTTTAGTTGAGTCAATGGCAACTTTGTATGTCGACATCTGACACCTGGATTTACCAGTGAAACCCACAACCAGTTGGTTTTTGCATGTTCTTCCGGGAAGGGAGAAAGTTTGACCAAACTCCTGACGGATGTTTTAGGGGTGAGCATCCCATTTTAAAGGGCATCCTTCAAACCGGGTCTGGGAAGTGTCCCACGGTGCAAGGCGCAGTTCATGTATTTCTCCACACGGATTGCGTGTTGAACCCAGAAACTGCTTCCTGATCCCGGCTTAAAATGGGCCTTCAGAGCATTTCAGAGCTAGCTCAGCTGGTGGAAGCACATCCCCCGAGGTTGAACGATGTCCACACCAACCAGTCCCCCAAGAACCCTTAGTCCAAAGTCCCAATTCCAAAATTCCCATAAGCAGTGGCTGGGGCCCGGGTGCTGTGGGTGTTTTGACCGGGGAAAAAAACCCACCCATTCGACTCGGAGGAGGGCATCGAAGAGGTGCTGAGCAGCATCGCGCCCTTCCTGTCGGTGAGCGGGGGCACCATCGAGTTGCTCGAGCGCCGCGAAGGAAAAGTGGGGGGAAGACTGAGCTGGTTGGTCTCTGGCGGTGGGGGAGGGGGGAGCAGGGGGCAAAATTTGGGCTCTTCGATCTTGTTGGTGTTCAATGGTCCTCTTTGTCCGTTTTTTGCTTGGGCGGGGCAGCGAGGGGGGTGGGTGGTTCACAAGTCGTGGCACAAGTCGGTGTGTTCGGGCCTTCTTCTTTTTCCCCACATCTTTGTGTGGGGTTCTTACTTTTTCCGCTCGTCGTGAGCGCGCCGCGTCTCCTCCTTCTCCCGCTCGTCTCCGTCTCACTCACTCACTCACTCACTCACTCACTCACTCACTCACTCACTCACTCTCACTCACTCACTAACACTCACTCAACTCACACTCACTCACTCACACTCACTCACTCACACTCAGTCACTCACACTCACTCACACTCACTCACACTCACTCACTCACACTCAGTCACTCACACTCACTCACACTCACTCACTCACACTCACTCAAACTCACTCACTCACTCACTCACGCTCACTCACACTCACTCACTCACACTCACTCTCATTCACTCACTCTCATACACTCACTCACTCACTCACTCGCTCACTCACTCACTCACACTCGCTGACTCACGGCAGCTGTCTAGAGGGACAGGATGTTGTCGCGCGCGCGGCGGGGGGTGTGCGAAATCGTGGCAGGCGCAGCACTTTGGCGATGCCGTTGCGAAATCCGTGCAGTGAGGCCGGCGCAGCCACCTTTGAAGGAGTCGTATGCCGTAAGTCGAGGCCAAGGCGCAGCATTCTGTGCACTGGGATAGTTTATTTGTGTGGCAGGGTAACGCGATTCGGCAGCTGTCTAGATGGGTACATGATGTTGTCCGCGGCCAAGCATCCGCGGCGGGGGGCGTGCGAAATCGATGCAGGCGCTACACTTTGGCCCCGGAAAAAATTTGGCCAGTTGCGAAATCGTGGCAGGCGCAGCACTTTGCGGATGCCGTTGCCGAAGTCGTGGCAGGCGCAGCATTCTGTGCATCTGGGTGTGTGTTTGTGTGGCAGGGGTCGCATTCGGCAGCTGTCTAGAGGGACAGGATGTTGTCGCGCGCGCGGCGGGGGGTGTGCGAAATCGTGGCAGGCGCAGCACTTTGGCGATGCCGTTGCGAAACCGTGGCAGGCGCAGCACTTTGGCGATGCCGTTGCCGAAGTCGTGGCAGGCGCAGCATTCTGTGCATCTGGGTGTGTGTTTGTGTGGCAGGGGTCGCATTCGGCAGCTGTCTAGAGGGACAGGATGTTGTCGCGCGCGCAGCGGGGGGCGTGCGAAATCGTGGCAGGCGCAGCACTTTGGCGATGCCGTTGCTAAATCGTGGCAGGCGCAGCACTTTGGCGATGCCGTTGCCGAAGTCGTGGCAGGCGCAGCATTCTGTGCATCTGGGTGTGTGTTTGTGAGGCAGGGGTCGCATTCGGCAGCTGTCTAGAGGGACAGGATGTTGTCGCGCGCGCGGCGGGGGGCGTGCGAAATCGTGGCAGGCGCAGCACTTTTGCGATGCCGTTGCGAAATCGTGGCAGGCGCAGCACTTTGGCGATGCCGTTGCCGAAGTCGTGGCAGGCGCAGCATTCTGTGCATCTGGGTGTGTGTTTGTGTGGCAGGGGTCGCATTCGGCAGCAGTCTAGAGGGACAGGATGTTGTCGCGCGCGCGGCGGGGGGCGTGCGAAATCGTGGCAGGCGCAGCACTTTGGCGATGCCGTTGCGAAATCGGGGCAGGCGCAGCACTTTGGCGATGCCGTTGCCGAAGTCGTGGCAGGCGCAGCATTCTGTGCATCTGGGTGCGTGTTTGTGTGGCAGGGGTCGCATTCGGCAGCTGTCTAGAGGGACAGGATGTTGTCGCGCGCGCGGCGGGGGGCGTGCGAAATCGTGGCAGGCGCAGCACTTTGGCGATGCCATTGCGAAATCGTGGCAGGCGCAGCACTTTGGCGATGCCGTTGCCGAAGTCGTGGCAGGCGCAGCATTCTGTGCATCTGGGTGTGTGTTTGTGTGGCAGGGGTCGCATTCGGCGGCTGTCTAGAGGGACAGGATGTTGTCGCGCGCGCGGCGGGGGGTGTGCGAAATCGTGGCAGGCGCAGCACTTTGGCGATGCCGTTGCGAAATCGTGGCAGGCGCAGCACTTTGGCGATGCCGTTGCCGAAGTCGTGGCAGGCGCATCATTCTGTGCATCTGGGTGTGTGTTTGTGTGGCAGGGGTCGCATTCGGCAGCTGTCTAGAGGGACAGGATGTTGTCGCGCGCGCGGCGGGGGGTGTGCGAAATCGAGGCAGGCGCAGCACTTTGGCGATGCCGTTGCGAAATCGTGGCAGGCGCAGCACTTTGGCGATGCCGTTGCCGAAGTCGTGGCAGGCGCAGCATTCTGAGCATCTGGGTGTGTGTTTGTGTGGCAGGGGTCGCATTCGGCAGCTGTCTAGAGGGACAGGATGTTGTCGCGCGCGCGGCGGGGGGCGTGCGAAATCGTGGCAGGCGCAGCACTTTGGCGATGCCGTTGCGAAATCGTGGCAGGCGCAGCACTTTGGCGATGCCGTAGCCGAAGTCGTGGCAGGCGCAGCATTCTGTGCATCTGGGTGTGTGTTTGTGTGGCAGGGGTCGCATTCGGCAGCTGTCTAGCGGGCCAGGATGTTGTCGCGCGCGCGGCGGGGGGTGTGCGAAATCGTGGCAGGCGCAGCACTTTGGCGATGCCGTTGCGAAATTGTGGCAGGCGCAGCACTTTGGCGAAGCCGTTGCCGAAGTCGTGGCAGGCGCAGCATTCTGTGCATCTGGGTGTGTGTTTGTGTGGCAGGGGTCGCATTCGGCAGCTGTCTAGAGGGACAGGATGTTGTCGCGCGCGCGGCGGGGGTGTGCGAAATCGTGGCAGGCGCAGCACTTTGGCAATGCCGTTGCGAAATCGTGGCAGGCGCAGCACTTTGGCGATGCCGTTGCCGAAGTCGTGGCAGGCGCTGCATTCTGTGCATCTGGGTGCTCTGTAATCGCATCCATACAAGGGGCGCACGGTACATGTGTGTGGACATTTGGGAAAAACATAGCATGTGGGGTTATCCGGTCCTTTAATTTTTGGGGGGGGGGGTTAAACACCGCCTTTGGGGGACACGTTGGTTTACCACCCCTCTTTTGGGCGATGTTTGGAGAGAACTCATTGCTTCTTATTGACCTGGGGTCCTACAGTAAGCAGGGAAGGGGCTAGTGAGCAGACAGACAGACAGCCAGACAGACACACAAACAGCCAGCCAGCCAGCCAGCCAGCCCGAACGACCGACCGACCGACCGACCGACCGACCGACCGACCGTCAGGCCCTGGGGGTCCAGCTCCTACCCGCGCCCGCGCCCCTCCTCCACGCCCGCACCCACCCCCCGCGCCGCCCCAGCACCGCTCCGCCCGCACCGCACCGCACCCCACCGCCCCCCGCCCGCCCGCCCGCCCCCCCCGCCCCGCCCGCACCCGCACCGCCCGCCCGCCCGCACCCCCGCCCTCCAACCCAGCCCACACCACCCACCAACCAACCAACCAACCAACCAACCAACCAACCAACCAAGCAGACCAGACCAAGCCAAACCAAGCGAAACAAAACGACACCACAAAACACAGAAGCAAAGCAAAACAACACAGCACAAAACAAAGCAAATCGTAGCAAAACAAATGCAAGCAAAGCCAGACAAAGGCATGCTAAACAAAACAAAGAAACCAAACCAAGCAACCAAGCAAGCGCAAGCGAGCAACAGAGCAACCGGGCAACCGAGCAAGCGAGCAATCGAGCAACCGAGCAAGCAAGCAAAGCCAGCAAGCAAGCAAGCAAGCCAAGCCAAGCGAAGCACGCAAAGCAAGCAAAGCAAGCGAGCGAGCACGCAAGCAAGCAAGCAAGCAAGCACAACACCACAGGCATGGCATGAAACGCATCAAGGAAACCAACGGGGGGCCACAGCTTGTGAAATCTGATTTCTTTGTGGCCCCAAGTCGGCGCGACTGGGGTTTCCCCCAACCCCGGATAGCCTTTGGAGATTTCGGCTCGTTTCCCACGACCATGCCCCCTTTCTGTTGGAGGTTTTAAACATCGCCCATAAGGGGGGAGTTTCCTTTGGTTGGGACTTGGGCCCAAAATGGCATGGCAGCCGACGAGCCAGACCAGAGACCTGTTTGGGATGCCTAGTCTTGAATTTGGTCACCTGTCTTTTGTCAAGCAGAACCAGCCAGTTGAGGTTCGGACAACATTGTGTTTGTGCTCTATTTGGGAGGGACATGTGGCACTCAGCACATTTCAGCCACAAACGCTGGGGAAGCATTCCCGGGCTCTCACAGGGTTGAGTCAATGGGAGCCAAACACGTGGCGTTCTCTTTGGTTTTCATCTGAAACCAACCTGAAAGGGTAACCCAAAAACACACCCATACTGTTAGAGGGCGGGAGCACCTGGGTCTGGTATTTGACCCCTTCAGAGGTCAGAGTCATGCGCCTTGCCAGCGAGGTTGGACGATGGCGATGGTGTGAATCCAAGGCCCACCATTGTGTCTCGGCAGCTCCCACAGAGCAGGAGCACAAGCGACCACTGGATGCCCTTTCCAGAAATCGGTGTCTCACTTGACCAGTTTCTGGACTTTGTAGCTATGGGGAAGCCATTTTATTGGTCAACAGCAAGCTTAGCATTTGGACCAACCCACCCAAGTCAGGTTTGGAGTCTGTGCGGATCCAGCCTATATGCTTCAAGAGTAGGAAAGAAGGACCAGGCGAGAGAAGAGGTTTTTCCACCCGCGAAGTGCATCCGTTGACCGTGTGGATAGATATTGCAAGGGCAACCAGGGGGTTGCCCGAGTCTCCCAATGATTTGTGGTCTTGGGGTTGATCAATATTCCTGGCCCTCAAATGACCATGGGCAACTGTTCCCATTTAGTGGGATATATCATGTTTTTGTGGCTTTCCCCAATGGTCCTCCTATGCAAAGGACCTTTTGATGGACCCCCAAATGTGTATAGAGAATCTGCTGTGGTCCTTGGTTCAAACAACTCGGACCTACAGACCCCAAAGAAGACCATCTGGCACGGAACTTGGCGGTTCCCAGCCATTTGCTGAGGTTTTGAGCTTTCTAGTGGTTTAGTTAAGCTTTTTTTAGCTTTAGCTTTTTTTTTTTTTAAAGGGTTGGTAGCTTTGTTTCCCAGCCATCCCATTCAACCCACTAAAAGTGAGAGGATTTGAGGACAGCCAAGACGCTGTTTGCTGCTCATTTCTCATTTTCCCTCAGGGGTACGGTCGAGGGATCTGAGGAGCCTGGATGACCGTGGGAAGTTTACTGGAGATCAGGGTGATCAGCAAGCCAATGTGTTTGACACAACTAGGACCACCTTTTTCCACTGGCTCGTTTTGTTGCTTGGGGGCCAAAGAATACATGCATCATTCTCCCATCATGGGGCTCTCAAAGTTAGTTCCGGGTGATTTGGCTGTGGGTCAAAACCAATGGTACCATTTTGGGGTAGGTGCACCACACATTTTAGTCTATTTTAGTGGGGATTGGGATGTTCACCGGGTACCCATTGCCATTTCCCTCTAAACCGTTCGTTGGAGGGACAGTTTGAGGATACTCGATCACGGATATAGCATTTGTGGGAGGGACAGGGACCCCTGGGCAATGTTCTCCGAATTCCTGGCCATCCGGGGTGAGGTGTGGGTGTGCCAGGATTCGCGCAGTCGACTAGTTGGTCCGTGTGAACTGAGAGGGGTCTCAAAAACACCAACACCTGGCCTGTTGTACTGGATTCCCATTTGAGAAGCCCAGTGGCAACTGGCACGGGTGTTCCCTTTCCACCACAAGGGCTGACCCCTTTCTCCAGCAGGAAGATCCGAGGCTCCCCCGAACCTTTGGGCTTACCCCGGCATATTTTTTCCGAGCTCCTGGAACGCAGAGGTTGTTTTGAGTTGCAAGACCCAACCTCTGATTCTCCACTTCCATTAGTTTGAAGCCATGGTAAAGTGAACCCTGGGACGCGCATTGGTTGCCCTTCGTGTTTCTGGGAGGCCTCAACATTTGGACACCTGTCCATGGCGTGTCTCAAAACGGACTCCCGAAGATGGTTGGTTTCCTTTTGGAGCACGGGGTTTGAAGATTCGCGGAGTTCGTCAGGGTTGAGGGCCGAAACACTTATGACGGTTTTTTCCGGACATGTCTGGTGGCTTCCACTGCTCCCAAAGGACGAGTTTCAGGGGTTTACTGGGATACACAACCACTATACAGCCACTGCAAGGGTCTTCATTTTCCCATAGGTCTCGGAGGTTTGCGGGCAGACATCTTACAACGGGAACGGCAGGCATTCCAGTCACGCCCCCGTTTGGTCAGCCATTTTTTTTTGGGGGGTGGGGGGGTGGACAAACTTTGAGCCTTCTCAAAATCTTTGAGTGTTTCTCAAACTGGATTCCGGAGATCCTTCTGCTTATTCGAAAGCAAAGGGACAAGCCCACCGCATTCCGAAGATGACCCAGTTGCCATAGGTGCTAGGCATTGGCGGCCCACCGGCGAAGAACACCAGCCTCAAGGCCGCGACTTTCGGGGAACTCGTGGCGACTTGGCGTGGGTTTTTCTTGGCCCAAACGAGTCAACACGGCGCCTTTTGCCATGGAAAGGGAAGCCAAAAAAGGGGGAACTCACGGAGAAAAAAGCGAGACCACGGAGAAAAATGCCGACGTCTCAGGTCGCTTTTTCGCGATTTCAAGCGGTATGTCTCGCAGAAAGCCGGAGGGGTTCTTGTAGCGGCTTTGGGGGGGGCCAGTCGCCACTGTGCCCGCCAGGCGGAGGTTCTTCGGAGGATGAAGTCGGTCTACGGCCAAGCTGAGACGCTCGGAGGGAATTGTTTTTTGTATTTTATTTTTAGGCCAACTCTGGGGTCGTCACTGCCGCCGCCTTGTCCACCGTTTGTGGGCAGCCCCCCTGGTAGTGTAGCAATCTTTTTCAAGGGAGGCTGTGCAGTTCAGTGGAGAAGGCAAACGGGTCGTCGGGTTCTGTTCTTTTGCGGCTTTTTTGGGCGCAGATGCTCAAAATCTGCGGCGCAGATGCTCATTTTGTAGTCGGCTGGTCAGGTGTTCGGGCGCCTGAGTCTTTGGACTTGGGAAACTTTCGGGGTTTGGACGATTTTAGCTGTAAGCAAAAGCTGCGGACGGTTCTTGGCCCACCTCAAGAAGTGAGTCTTTTCCGAGGCTCGGTGCCGTTTCCCGCCGGTTTACGGGCGTCCATGTGGCGGCTGGAAATCGATGAGTAGAGAGGCCCCAAATTTCCAGGGTCTGATGGCCGTCGACGACAGTCCGGAGATTTGGGGTTTGTCCCAGTCAAGTTCGGGAGATGCGGGTATTGGTCAAAAATGAAACCACCAGGATATGGACCGCAGATTTTGGTGTTTGCGTTTCCATTTGCCAGGATTCCGTTTTGGGTACGTACTTTTGACCCACAGCCATGTCTCGTGCCTGGGGTCAAGGATTCAGATGCTGGAGATGGCTTTGGAGGAAGAGTGAGCGACCCTTTGCGGACAAGTCCTGCCGTTGGCGTAAAAGTAAAAACCAGTCGCTTGCCTAACACGTTTTGCCTTCTGGAATTCTGTTCCAAACCGACAGGTTCTCAAAATTCTGTTGGGTTCCCTTTAAGTGCTCCAAGAGTCTAGTGAAAATTGAACAGTTTGAAGCAGGGCCCAAAGTCCGGGCCTGAGGTGTTTCACGATCTGGGGTCATGTTCCTTAACTTCCGCTTGAGGATCATCCCTTTGATAAACTTAAGAGGCCGGCAAAAGCGGTGTGGTTCATTTGTCCAGGGTCGACGATCTGTGTGGTCTCGTTGCCGCGCGGTTTTCCTGTCTCACAGGGACTCGCAGCTTTGACGCGCGCGCAGCTCCCTTTGAATTGTTTGAAGGCGACGGAAACTACTTGCTTCTTACTCTGTAACAATAATGTTAGCAAAAAAAGCAAACCATCCCGAGAAGTGAATGCTGAGCATTTCCTGTCTCACTCGTTCTCTCACGTCTTGGGCCGCATATATGGGTATGGGTCAAAATTAAACCCCACCAGGGACTGCAGGTTTTAGTCCTTGTTTCCATGTACCAGTACCAGGGTTCCATTTTGGGTACCTATTTTGGACCCACAGCCATAGTTGGAAATCCGTCCAAAGAAAAACAACCCGACGTGACGGCTCCAAGGCTCCAGCAGAGCCTCACTCGCATCGATCCAGCGATCGAGTGGCACCGGCGTTTTCTCGTTTTCCTGGCTCAAACTTCGGTGCCCGAGACCCGAGATGATCGAAAAACCGGCGGTGAAGTGATCGGCGGCTGTCGGCTGGCTATGTCCTTAGGTCAGTTCGGTTGAAGAGAGATGGGTATGGGTCAAAATTCAGCCATATAAAACCGAAGGTTTTAGTCCGTGGTTTCAAAATACCCAAAGTTCCCGCGTGCCGCAGCATCGCCTAATGTTTCCCCAAGATTGCCAACGTCGCAGTTGTGTGCAGTGCGCTATGGCTAGCCCAACCTGCCCATCGCACGTCCTTTTCCCAAGAATTTCCAGGGGTCCCATCTCGCTTTTTTTTTTTTTTTTTTCCTCTCTTCTTTTTTTCGCGGTGTTACTTGGTCATTCGCGATTATTTGAAGGTATTTCACGGTTCCATGTTTTCACAGAATTCTGCCAACACAATAGCTTCAAGACTCCTCCATTGACCGTATTTCTTGGGTTAATTCAATTTAGTACACTTTCGAAATGTCGCCAAAGATGAGGTCGGCATTGATTTTATACTCAAACTGGGCTTTGCACACATGTATGTTACAATGCCTCCATCCAACTTAGTAAGCAATCGTTGCTTGACGCACACATTTCAACATGACATGCAAACTGATTGCCCAATTGTCTGTCAAGGTTTAGTTTACCCACGGACACCAAACTTGAGTATTGCATAAGCGCGCTGGAACTCGGTCATACTGGTTGACAAAGGTAAACTTGGTCAAGGAAGGCCAGGGCATCATTAGAACTCAGTTGGACAATAGAGAGAGAGAGAGAGAAGAGCGAAGAGAGAAGAGAAAAGAGAGAAGAGAGAAGAGAGAAGAGAGAAGAGAGAGAGAGAGAGAGAGAGAAAAACATATGATAAATACAGAAACGAAAGATATGCAAACTTTACTTTGTGGTGACTAAAAGTGAACGATTCTAAAGGTGAAGGTAGAAAGGATGGATCCCACACGAAAGCCAGTCAAGGAGAATCCTTTTCTTTCCTTCCAGTCCACATTTCAGGACATTCCAATATGAGAAAGTAGAATATCATCATAATTAGTAGTGTCAAAGAAGATTGCAAGGAATGAGACTTTAGACAAATTTGCCTTGAAGTGAGCGGGTCCTCGGTGCATCTTCGCGGGCTTCCACATGGGGCTTTCGTCAGAAGGAGAGCCGCAGTCATCTGTGAGCTTGGGGACGTGACTGGGGTTGGGCCGGTTTTTCGGAGGGGTCTTGACTGGCTTCCAGAGGGGAGTTCGACGGGCTTGACCGGCTCGGTTTCTAGAAGGGGTTTGGCCGGGTGTTAGGGGGACTTGGCAGGAGCCGGCCCGGTTCTTGAAAGGAGTCAACAGGTTTCGAACAGGAATGTGCTCGGCTTCGTGTTTGCCCGGCTGGGCCTGGGCCTGGCCTTGGGACTTGCTTCAGAGGGGCTTGAGGCAGCTGGAGCATGTTTTGGGTCACACGCTTCCCCAGCCCTTGGGGAGGCGAATTTGTGCCTTTTGGATTCATATTGATTTACGTCTAGTTTTCATCTTCATTCCAACTTGTGTCTGGTTATATTGTGTTTGGTGTTATCATGTCCCTTTATTAGTTCTATTTCAACTTCTAGTTCGTCTCCTGTATAGTTGGTAAGGTTATGATGGTAGGATAACAAATTGAGAGAAGCGGGGACAACAGATTTCATGGAAGTCTTGTTGGGTCTGTTTCCCATGGCAAAGATTATGAATACAAAATGAACGAAGACAGAATGATAAAGAAAGATATAGCAAGGAAGAGGATACATAAGAACAGAACCATTATGAGCAGGAACCCCTTAAACATAGAGTTACAAAATAGAAGATAAAAACGAGCAAAAAACAGTGCTTATGGATGGGCCGGATGGCAGGGCCCTAATTCTCAGGGAGTTGTCCATTCACTTGTGCACCCGCCTAATTGAATCCTGGAAAGTGGAAAAACAAAATATACGCGAAGTAAATATCAACACTTCACAAGATGAAATATAATTTGTTTTAGCAAGGTGGATGTGTGTGGATGACATGCTTCTTTTGTCCCGCCCTTCACCTTTCCCAGTCTATCTCTTGTTCATGCTTCTCCGCCCTCATCCTTGACATGTAACGAAATAGATAGGATGGCATCTCTTCCTTCTCGCTCAGGTAAAATGACAGACATGTTTGTTGACTTGGGGGTTAAGTTCAACAACTTGACATTGGTTGTGGAAAGAACGTACCAGGCCCAAACAAGTCAGAAACCGCACATACGTGTCTAAGCGCAAGCGTATCCGAAGTTTGGGAGATGACCAAACCAAAGTCAAGCCAACTGTTCAGCGACCTCCTTGTCCCCAGCTCAAAGCATTGAGGGAGCGGTTCAGTGGAGAATCCGAGCGGGCGAAACGTGAGGATATTCCCCAGCAGTTTCCGCAACAAGAATGATCACCTGTCACTTGAGCCTCTGTACTGCCGGGAGGACGTCCCTTTTGAGCCACGTTTCTAAACATAGTTAGGGAAGCCCCGGTTTGTTTTTACAGGGTCACTAGACCGGGAAAATCCAAAGCTGCCAAACATCAGATGCAGAAAACCAACACCCGCGATGCAGATGCAGAGGGTCCCATCCACATACCAGGGTCACTCTGGGAAAAGGAAACCAATGTCTTCAGTGGCCTCCAGCTTTGGGAGATATCTCTTGACCGAAGACAGAAGCCCAGAAATGGGTATTGCCCTAACACTTGATTGAAGGCTAGGAATAGTCCCGACCATAAATGGGTGCAGCCACCTTTTTAATTCCTTGCAGGATTTTCATGTTCGTACCAGGCCTTTGATCGTGGCTCACCTGATCTCACTTGTTTCGAACATAAGCTCTCCTGCCCCAGTAAGGAATACCACCATTTTGGAGGGTCCCCTAAAACAGACACCCCCATATTCCTGCTAGGAGTCCTTTTGAAAGTCAGCTTTAAACTTAACCAAAACAGAGGACCAAATTGGAGACCTAATGGGACCCCAGCAAGCCTGGAACGATTCCAAGATTCAAGAAACTCCCACCGACTTGTGGGGTCTGGTCGCGTTCGATTGGGGTTTTGAGGCTACTGTTTTCAGCTTGCTTTCAACGGGTTTCAACAGGACACCTTTTTCAGGGGGGTCCAAATGGCTGTGGGTCAAAACCCAGGAAACCCCTGGTGAACATCAAAATAGGTGGCAAATGGATGTTCCTCCACCCCAAAATGGAAATTGATCGCCATAGGTTATGCCAAACAACCAAGTCCCAGCCGCACCCATTGGCGTTTTCAGGTACAACGCACCTGGCGGGCCATTCAGAAAAGCCGTGCGCAGAGGCCGGGACGAAGCCCTTCCTTCACGGACATAGCGACACACAAACCGACAGAGTGACAAAGGCTGCCAAGCCCCCCAAAAAAACATGCCGGAACATGCAGGGCCCTCTATATGAAGGAAAGCAAAAGGAGGTTGAGTCATGTTATAGGAAGCTGAGAAAATTAAACATAAATTAAGTTGGAATAACCAAATGCGGTTTTCAGAGGTTTGTTGCCCCCCTGCTAAATCGTTCCGCCCTTCTGAATGTCGTTGTGGAACCTTCCAAGCACCTTACCGAAACCGCACAACGCATCAGCCATTGGCAGATTGACCCCTGGCTGTTGCTGTTGACACCGCTTGTGGGCTGGTTTGTTCGGGTCGGATTTCCGTCTCAGATCTGTAGAAAGCTTGGCAAATATCGATGGATGGTTCTTGGATGGACTTCAAAAGAGGCTTGGCCAATCTGCCTTCTCGGGGGTTTAGATTGGACCCTTTTCGCCACCTGCGCCTGAAAGAATCAAGGGGGGTTGGCTCACAACCCCAGGGTTCGTGGAACTTCCTCAGGAGTTTTTCGACTTGCGGATGGCTGCAGATGGATGGAACAGCTGGGAAAAGCATAACGTATATATATATATATGCACATAGCATGTGTACATATATCTTTATATAGATATGCATACACATGGTACCCCCCATGAACATATATAATGCATATATACATATAGTCATGTCTTTGTTGTATGGCTACATTCTTAGGGTTGGTTAAACCCAAGGGAATAGGCGCTCCGATTGGACACCTGCCACTAGCTCATTGCATGTGCTGTAAGCCTGGATGCACGTGGTTTCGAAGGCTCGTCAAGGGCGCGGAAGGCCGTGTCCTTGTGTTGGCTATTTGGTGGGATGGTCAACCCATAACTTTTGGTTGAAGATGAGTGGTTCTCAACCACCAACAACTCGAAGGATTTGCGCTGGGCCAAATCGCCACAGA